ACTATTAAGATTATTCTAAAATCAGATTGAAGAATGTAACAGAAATAATAAAAAAAATAAAGTTAAACTAAAAAGAGAGTAAAAATATGGTAGCAGGCTTAGAAAATTAAAAAAAAATGTATATAAAAAACCGTAAGATGCTGAAATAGAAATTAAACAATGAAGAATAATGAGTTAATGATATACAAGACTATTATAATAACAAAGTAGGTGTGACAGAAAGATGGAATAAAGTAAATGAACGTGACAAAAATTTACAAAAAACAAATAAGCAGAGAAGGACACTGCAAATGTAAAATAACAAGTAGAAGAAAAAATGTAAAAAACAAAAAGGCTTCAATAATTAAAGCAAAAAAAGAAAAAAACATAAATTAATGTAAAATTTAAAAAATGGATTAAAAGAAAATAAACGAAAATATAGTAAGTTAAAATAATGTACCAACGGGATAAAATAGAGAGAAAACAAATAAGTAATAAAAGACGTAAAAGAAAAAAATCTAAGAGAAAAGTGACAGGAGCAAAAATATATTTAAAAAAATGATGATAAATAAGCAAAAAATAAAGAAAATAAAAAAAAGAAGTAGAACGTAAATTAAAATGAAACTAGAGAAAAATTGATTAAAAAAACTATAATAAATAAGATAAAATAATGTGCCAACGGGATAAAATAGTGGAAAAACAAATAAGTAACAAAAGACGTAAAAACAGGAGAAAAAAACTCAGAAAATACGCACAAAAATATAAAAAAGTAAAGGTGATGATAAAAAAGCAAAACATAAATTTTAAGGCACAATAATAATTATTAATGTTATTAGTATTATAAATAAAAATAATGTTAATTATAAAAATAATCATGTAATAGATGTAAAGCAGATGCAGAATAAATAAAATATACTAGAAAATATAGTAAAAAGTGCAGAGTTTATAAAAACATAAGTAAGCAAAAATGCCTTATAAAGAATTGATAAATAGAAATAGTATATTGCGTTATATTAGGAGTAAACGTGATAGTTCATGTGGCGAATCTTTTACTCCAAGTAACATACACTATTTTATACGCAAACGTATTCACATCGAGAGTAAAGCGCAACATTATAATTAGCAAGTAAATGAACAAAATAATAAGAACACTTCGCAAGTAATCAAATTATAACAAACAAATTTAAAAGAATACTAAATAGAAGAAGTTAGTTCAAAAAAAGAGTAGAAACACGAAGATTTTGTTGTGTTTTTTTCAATTGTGTTAAATTTTATATTTTCTCTGCGTTAGTAAACATTCTTTTTCGCAAGCCATATGTCAATTTCACCCCCAAAAGTTTTTCTATACGACACGACTGGCGTTTATTATCTCCGAAAACTTAAGAACAGTCTGGAGAATCTCATAAAAACTTATATTATGGAGAAAAAGTCGCGCGAAAAATCAAATTTTCATGGACAATTTGCGCCTCTCGAATCAATCGTAAAAGGAAAAAACCCATCTAATCTTTATTTGAACTTGGCTCATGTCATCAACCCGATCAAATATTTAAACGGTTGAGTTTGTCACCTGCTTGTATTAATTTATTTAAAGTCACCCTAACACCCTGATCTGAATAGAATTAGTTTTTCGTATCGTGGAAAATTTATGATCCAGAGGGGTTGCAAGACGTCGATTAATAGCCGAACATTGAAAGATGAGGTGTCTACAACATTACAACCCCTGCTGAGACAGATTAGATTCTAGGCATCATCTTTAGCAACTTATTCACACTCTCTTGTCTAATTACTAATTAGAATTAAGGCCGACACTGCTCACTTAATATTCCGAGGACCACAACGTCATTAATGCTAAGAAAAAAAAGGGCGAAATTCGTAAAAGCTGCAAAGTCTTCGAAGTTAAGCTCCAAAAGAATTAAAATATGAAAATGTATGAGGAGAGCAAGCGCCGACTGGATTAATGTAATACGTTACGTTGAAAGTCGATTTGTGACGGAGAATTTTACTTCAGTCGCTTATTATTCCACCCGAATTACCTTCAAGAAGCTTAAAAGTGCGCGCCATTGTCTTCACGAGCTCCCTTAAGAATGAAGCTAACTTAATACAACTAACGCAAGCTTTGAAACTTTAATTGCAAGCAAAAAATTTCAAAAATCAAGTTAATTGCTGCATAAGTTTACAGAAACAATATCTCAACAATAAAGACAAGTATTTCAAAAGCTCAACAGCTTTTGTCTGTCATTATATCATTAAAGTTTGTTAAACTATCAAGAGGAATAAATTTTATTCAAGAAACGTTTCCTATCTATTTTTTTATTATAGAGCGTGCTTCAACTGAGACTTTCTTGCTTAATAAAAACTTAGTTGATACACTTTGTAGAATTATACACAAAACTAAATATTTTAATTGAAAAAAATTGAATGAAAAACACATTTTTGCACATTTTTTTCTACCAGTTTTCATAAGTTAAATATTTAGTTTTGTACAGTGGCGGTTTGAGGATTTGGACAAATGACATTTATATCAAGTAAAATACTTAATTTGTATAAACTTCTAAAGCTTTAAAACAATTATTGAAGACTTAATCAAAAAACTTTTATACAGGCTGCGCCAGAACTCGCGCCTTAGAGAAAAATGCTATGTAAAATAAGACACCAGGAACATTATTGAGTAAATGTACAAAAACTATGTCAACAAAAGCCATAAATAACGTTAAACATACTTGCAATTTAGGATACAGCTTATTTGTTTTTTCTTCTAATAAATAGTGTCAAAAAGCAAAATTTATACACTTATTTTTTTAGAATTTAGAATTATTTTCATGTTCTTATAGTATCATTCTATCTAACTTGGCATTTTTCTCTGATTTGCGAATTTTGGGACATCCTAGATACGGGACAAGTTGTCATAATGCAGTTAGTTTTGAGAGCATTTCTTTTACATATTTTTAATGTTATTTTGTATTTATATTTTTGTATTTTAACTAAAATTACTATTTTGTAACTTTGAAAATAAAAAAAAGTAATAAAATGAGTAAAATTTGCTTTGTGTTTGCGGTTTTGGACAAAATTATTAATTGTGGAGAATATAAATGTTGCAAAACTAAAAGTTTTAAGTAAATTGTAAAAATCTGCTACTGCAGTATATTTTAAAAAATGAATATTTCAAGAACTGAAAGGCTGAAAAGTTGACATTACATTAAAAAAAAAATTAATTGCAAAATACAGGGTGCGCCAGAACTCGCACCTTAGAGAAAAATGGCATGTAGAATACAAAGAACAAGCAAAAAATGTTAAAAAAAAAAAATGTTAAATCTATAAAAATTTCGAAGTTATGAGAGTATTTTGTACTTTTACTAAATAATTGTAAAAAAACATATACAAGATTATTAAACAGTAGTATCATTAAATAGACATAAAAAAATGTTAAATGCGAAAAAATAAATGTCAATTTTTTTTACTGATAGAATTTTTTTATGATTGAAAATTTTCTCTGGGGCGCGAGTTCTGGCGCAGCCGGTATATTTAGTTTTCTTTCACTTAAATAAAATACGCAATAATAAACCAACTATTTTATTTGTAGATTTTTACAAATTAATAAACATTTTTTTGGGAAGTAAAAGTCTTCTTGGCGAGTTATGTTTCAGTTTAAACTCCCGGTGACGAACATTTCCACACATAGTTCGTTTACGAGGAACAAAGCTCACTCTTGAGTGTTCCAAAGATCCTTATTGCATCGTAAGTTATAACGGGAATGCATTTTCTGCAGTCTATAAAGCTCAACCTGTCATTATTATAACCAGCAATGGAATCTTGGCAGCTTTAACCAGAAATGCTGAATCTTCCACTGGATCGATGCCGTAATATTCAGTTCGGTATGTCATAACCGCCATAGTTGGTTATGGCACATATGCAATTATCCTGTTATAAATTAACCACCGTTGCTGCTACCAGACGGGTATTAGATTATCATAATTGCCAAAGGACGTTTCACCTGTAACTGATATATTGGACGATTTTCCGAACTTTTGACTCAACTGAGAGTGTTTTTTTAATTAAAAAAAAACTAATTTTATTAAAAGCTGCCTCAAAGATAACATTTTATTACAATGAGAAATAAACTTTCCAGTATTAATTGCAACTTTAAAATAAAATAATGGCTTTGTTGGTATCTAGAAAACACTCAAGTTTTAATTTGATTATGAATTCAGTTAAAAATATCTTTTTTATTCAAGTATCACTCAATAGTAGTTTCATTAAACAAAATTTTGTCAAAACATGTATTAACACTAATTGTAAAGTTACGAAATGTTTATTATAATATTTCAATTACCAATTTGTCAATGCCAAGTCAATATCTCAAAAAGAAGTTTGTTTTCAAAGGCTGATTACGTCAAAACCAGAGGAGTTAGAGCAAAAAACTCAGCAGATTCGTAATCAGCTCCCCAGAATGTATAAGACAGCATTGGTAAAACGAAATTTATGAT